CCGCACGCTCCCCTCGGTGCCCACCCGGCACAGTCAGGCAGACCCCGACCTGAGCAATGTTGGCCTGGGAAGCCAGGCGGATCATGATGTCCAGCTTCTCCAGTTTGACGTAGATGGGGTCGTTGTACTTCACAAAGAACACCTTCATCTCGTGTTTCAGGATCTCGGGCCTGGAGGACAACGAGAGGCAGCGATGAAGGGAGACACGCACTCCTCCGCTTTGACCACAGAGAGAAACGTCGAAAACATAGAATCATAGAATCATTAAAGGTTGGAAGAGACCTCCAAGATCATCGAGTCCAACCATCAACCCAACACCCCCATGCCCACTAAACCATGTCCCTAAGCGCCTCATCTACCCGTCTTTTAAATACTTCCAGGGATGGTGACTCAACATCTTCCAGAAACCATGGTTTTCTCCAGAGCTTTCTGGACACCCGATACTGCTATCGGATGATTTCTCTAGCGGCAGAAGCAAGATCTGAGCTCCGCTCCCGCCTCCAGGCTCCGACCCAGGCAGCAACCAGCAGGCAAAGCAGCGCCGAAAGGGAGCTGTCCTCCTCAGAAAGCTGCACGCCGGTCAGGAGACGGACGGGGATTCATTCGCCTGACCCTGCAGGCAGCTAACGCCCCAAGTCCATGCAAATTCATTACCCCGTTAGCCGGCTACAAGCGTGAATCATCACTCCCTGGCCGAGGCTGGAGCTGGAACGGTGAAGGCTTGAGGACACCGAGGACATAAGCTGGGGAAACCCGGAGCCGGAGAGCGAGCAGCTCTGGGCCAGAAGGACGAGGCTCCTTGGCCACAAGCACAAGGTTTCGGGGGCCCGTTCAATGTCACGGAATCCAAGATACCCTGATTATCCCCCCCAGGACTCTGTCCCTTGGCTCCCCTTCGCTGGCGCGCAGGGGACAGAGCACAACCTTGCCGCAAACGAAGACCAGACGCAAGGCAACAGGGGAGGTTTGTCTTGCCAAGGCTGGGAGGGACATCTTGCAGGAGCAGGGATGCAAACCCAGACCCCAGGGCTAGGCTGGACCTTTCTCACCAGATCATCCTCTCTCTAAGCTGGGGAAGGGACAGGCCGGGTCCAGCTCCAAGGAGCGGCATTCCTTCTCCAGGGACACTAATTGCTTTCCACTTCTCCCAGAAGCTGCTGCTATTTTTAATAGACATCCACGGCGATAAATCGGTAGGACAATAAATCATCTGACTGCGGCTGTCACCGCAGAGCGTGGCTCTCCAGCTGGCCGGTTCTGCTCGGGGCACACGTGTGGGGCCTCGGACACCTCCTGCCCACCAGCAATTTTAGATCAGCAAAGGGACAAAAGGACTCTCAGCACTTATTCAAAGAGGACGACTACGTAGAAACAAGCTGATCTCATAAAAATTCCTCCCTAGGCATTTAACGACTAAACCAAAGTCTCAGCTTTCTGCCTTTCCATCCTTTGCTCTCCCAAATAAACAATAAATTAAAATAAACCCCTCCTGGAGATCCCAGCTTAGCTCCCTGCCCATTAACTCTCACGATTCTCTGCGCCCAGCCCTTGGATTTTAAATAACAGAGGAGAAAAGACCTCATATGACGGGTTGCGTCGGCAAAGCCCTGACACCGCTGCAGCCAGAGGGTTTGAAGCACTGGGAAGCAGCGCCCGCAGGGAAGAGGGAAGGCCTGAGCCAGGCTGTCCCCGCTGCCGCGCCGGGGCACCCACCTCTTCTGCACGATGAGGTTGATGTTGCGGAGAGCCACGTACTGCAGCTCGGGCTCTGCGGAGAGCAGGGTGACCAGCGGCGGGGCCAGCTTCTTCAGCAGCGTGCCGTAATAATCCAGGTCCTTCGACAGCATCTCCATGAACTTCATCAG